TCAGAGAGAAACTGACTCTCTCTCTTTTCCTCACTAAGACCAGGGTTCATTAGGAATGTCTTTGATATTCCTAGTGAATATGCAAACTAACATCAATTAATTGTTCAACTTCAACTCATCTGAATACTGACTCTAGAACCACATTTATTCGTTTTGAATATTATCCATTTGCATAAAAAATAAACTTTATTTGGTGCTAAGTTGGAGTCAAGTTAGTAACATTATGCCGCTGGAGTCAAGTCTATGTCCAGAGCCTTCATGTGGTCGTCTGACAGGATTTCACTCTCTCCGAGTTTGCATAATTAACATATTGCCGGCCGCACGAGATGGCAACAGTCACAATAATCTTAGACAATTCGTGACACTCTAACTACGTGTGTCTGAGAGGGTCGCTAATACGCTAAAGACGCACGATTTATGTGCGTATTTAGTTTATATTAATAGTACTAGCTTAAACCATTTGTATAAGTATGAGGAAGAATGTTGAATATCTGGACATAATGGAGAAGCATTTTACAAACAAAAGTATGAAAATACCTTTATTCGGAGATTTGGTCATAAAAATAAGATGGGCTTTTGACGGTTCATGACGCAGAACGACTCCTATGGCCAGCAGGCAGAAGGGTGACAACGTCGAGACGCTGAAACACTGGTCATTGTAAGCACCACGTAAAGGAAGTGTTGGGAGGAGTGACAGCTGAACCACCTGCCTGCGCCTGCCCGCTCCGCCCACCGCCATAACTGGCAGGGACAAGATGTTCAGTGACCCCCGTCCGACCCACTCACAACGTCTGGTCACCTCTTGACTCCAAGCAGGCGTGTCCCATCATCCTATGGATACACGTCAAGCAGCGCTCGAACTATGGGGGCTTCTCCAACTGTAGCTTCAAGCTAGGTGATTCCTTCACTTGCTGTCGGTGTTACTTAATGCTTCATGCAGACTTGTTCCGATTCAGTAAAGTGAAAACACCTGGTTCATGTTGGTCAAAACTATTCGTGCAGGGCGTGGGTGTGGGAGACCTGGTGATTTGTAGTAAAGCTATGACCTGGTGAACTGTGGAAAATAAACCTGATATCTCGGGACGTGGAGGCCTCACAGTAGTGAAAGAGACTTCTTATGACCTCGTAGCATGCGTCTGTTGTTGACCAGGGAGCCCAGGTTGTCTCTAGAGGGTCACAAGGTTATCACCGGGTTTACTAGATCACAGGTTTCCTGATCAGGCAGGAAGGTTCACAGGTTGACAAGGAGTTCACAATATTCAGGCTATTCAGTTCATACGTCAGGCTGCGAGCAGCCGCGTCTAACAGCCTGGTTGATCAGTCCAGCAACCAGGAGGCCTGGTCGACGACCGGGCCGCGGGGACACTAAGCCCCGGAAGCACCTCAAGGTAGCCTCAAGGTATTCACAGCGGCTCGCCTGGTCACCAGCGATTCACCAAATTAAAAGTCGCTCTCGGGATCAATAGTGGCTGACCGAGTAACTATCGATGCAAATGCAATTTTACGAGATGCAAATGGTTGATCAAATACCGTGTCTTTAAGGCCACACACCAGGTCACTAAGAAGTCCACGTAGGCGGATAGAAATAATCTCAGCTACATCCTTGTGAGATAAATCTTATTACCTCAAAAAAACTTACTTGAACTTAAAGAAGAAGCCTATGCAGGAAGTGTCGTGGCTCGCTCATGGGGTGTAGTAATGAATGGGTATAATGGCCTTATGTTGTGGTGGGCAGGATGTCCCGAGTGGTCCACAGGGTTCTGTAATCAGCTTTTTATCTGGATGACATACGAGGGAAAGCCAGCCGAATGGCTTGTAACCTCGAAGGACGGGGCGATGTTATTACAGCTGATGATTATACTCCCTCTCACCCCCCCCTTAACTTTAAGAATTACAACAACCGGTTTGGCGTCCACGAAATGGTGACTGATGCCGCCAATTATCTCTCTTTTCCTCTCTAATCATCTTTTATTTATTTAATCTCTTCTCGCTTTCTGACGGCATAAATCACGTCTTTAATCACAGTCGACAATCAGGAGCTTCTGAGTGTGTATTTATAGCAGCAATGCGGTAATTTCTTGTTTGTGTAGTCCTTGTCGTATACCTCCGTGACTGTCTGCGACACTAGCATGCGTGCGACGGGGGGACACGCATTCCGTGGCTGCCTGTAGACACTTACTGGTGCTGCCAGATAGCCTCTGCGTGTCCCAAACGCGCATTCCGTGGCTGTGTTGCCTGTCACTCGTGTGTTGCGTGCGACGGTCACCGCTATATGTAGCGGCCCGTCCCTATAAAGTGGTGGTTGTAAATGTCTGCCATGTGGGCGACGCCGCGGCTGACGGCCGTGGGTTCGAGACCCGGCTCAAGACACCGGGTTGGTGGTTCGAGCACTTGAGGTTCATACGTTTTGAGGGAAGGAGGGGGAGGGGAGGGGGTATCCAGAAGATGCACCGCCCTCTTCGTACTCCACCTGGTACAGATAGGCCTGGTCGACGACCGGGCCGCGGGGTCGCTGAGCCCCGGAATCACCTCAAGGTAATCTCAACGTAACCTACCTGGAGGTTTGGGGGTGGACCACCAACAGCGGCACTCACATTATACTGGCACCACCACAACACTCTGTGTGGGTGTCACGAAGCTCACCACCACCACCACCACCATCACCACCACCACCACCCCATCACCACCATCACCACCACCATCACCACCAACACCATCAGCACCACGACGAACACAATAGCACCACCCGCACCTCCACCACCCGCACCACCATCACCACCATCACCACCATCACCACCATCACCACCACCACCACAGCTGCAGGTCTCTGGAGTTGTGAGGAGCACCACCTTTGAAGAAAACAATCAGAAACAAGTTACTAAAACAAGTGAAGATTAACTTTGTAGCTTGGAGCCAGCGCGTGCTTGTAGAGAAAGGCATGCCAACCGATCAGGTAAACTTTAACGACAACGGAGTTTAAGATTCAGCTAAAGAGGGAATGATGGGTGGATTGTATATATCATCCTAGACTAATGCTGTTTCAGCATTGGAGAACCAGACTGGATCAGTTGCGAACATTTTAAAAGGACCTGGAGAGTATCTGACAGACAGGAAACAGAGGTGAAGTGGTTGAGAAAGTGTCAGAGTAGGAAGAAGTGACAAAAGTGACCCACTAGGCTCGGTGCGATCCAAAACAGAGAATAGTAAGAGCCGAAGAACACATTCTCGACTGTACAGGTGAATCCAAACAAACTGCTGGAATGGGTGGACAAATGGCAGCTAGAGTTTAATCCCCCAAATGTAAAGCAATGAGGTTTGGGAGTGGGGCAAGGAGGCCCACTCCCAGACTTAAGGAAACTTTTTATGAACCTAAGTCAGGAATTCTTAAAGATTCTATGCCCAGCGTATGTTAGGCCAGTCCTAGAACATGCAGCTGCTGCATATTCAATCTCTAGTAAAGTAACTACTAAAATATCAAGTAAAGTACATGTAAACAATTATATAGTTTTAAGACAGTACACAAGTGTGATTTGTGTACTGTACAGTACAGAATATTAGGTTATTATTGTCTACTAAGATTATCATTCCCATAAGATTATCATTACCATAAGATTATCATTCCCATAAGATTATCATTCCCATAAGATTATCATTCCCTAATAAGATTATCATTCAAGATTATCATTATTATCATTCCCGGTGATAATATAGTGAGGTGGATTTTGTTAAGAAAATAGTTTTAAAGAGTGCTTAGAGAGGTGATAACACAGAGCCAAGCGCAGGTATAATACCCGAGTGAATATATAATAATTCCGGAGTATATTATATATCATTTCAAAAGCCGGAATTAATGATCATGAGACTTGACCCGGAATTACTGATCACGGAATATTACCAGGTATTACTAATCATATAAAAATACTCGGTATTGTCCAACTACTTGGGCTGGACGGAAGAGAGCGACGGTCTCGCTTCATGCAGGTTGGCGTTCAATCCCCGACCGTCCATTAAGTGGTTGGTCACTATTCCTTTCCCTCGTCCCATCCCACCTGAAATCCTTATCTCTGATCCCTTCCAAGTGCTATATAGTCGTAATGGCTTGCATGATGCTTTCTCCCCATCCCTCTAATGGTTGTTCGGAGGGATGGGGAGTTCCCTTCCCATCCCTCCCTTCCCATCTCTCCTCCTCGTATCGTCTCTCGCTCTGTTCCACTTCAGCTCCACCAATCAACCTCCTGCTGGGGCAGCCGTCGAAAAGCAACCTGGGTAATGTGATCCATCGCGGCAGTACTTGGAGCTCAGATAATGAGTTTGTACGGGCGGTATAATAGTCCAGTTTGAAGTGCTGATCAAGTGAGGCGCTCGTTAAATCTCTCCAGCTGTGTTGTTTAAGCGCAGCCACTGTAATAGGCAAGGTTGTTTAAAATAATAAAGCCTAAAGGGAACTTATATCCAGGTGAAGTGATAATGAAGAACAAGAAGAGGAAGCCAAAGAGGGGAAGAAAAACAGTGGAAGAAGATGGATAAAGATGTGAAATACACGCCTGTGCTTCCCTAATCGTGCTAATGTGTAGGGAGAACTATAGCTCTTGGGCCCGCCTCTTATAGTTTTTCACTGTCTGCTCACTGAATTAGTAGGGATACAGTACTCGCCTATCAATTGTTTATAAATACTCCTTTTGTCAAATGTAACTCATTTCCAATCATTCCAGCCTATCTCTATGACTATAATCTCATATAATGTAGGAGTCATGGTAACGACATATAAAATACTAGAATTGACAAGTGGAATGAAAACATTGGCTTGAAGAATGATGGAACAAGTGAACGGAGATAAAACTAGGTTGCTCAGATGAGTAATAAAAATATTAAGAACATTTTTTAATAGGATCAGTGAATAGGGTGAATAGGTCGAAGGTAGTTAAGTCATTGCGGTAGGCGTCAGACATAGCCAGGCCCCAGGAGCTGATGCTCTACCTAAGAGACACTTTTAGGTGAGATCACATGTCTTCCTTGGGAACGTCTTCCTTGGGAACGTCTTCTTTGGGAACGTCTTCCTTGGGAACGTCTTCCTTGGTAACGTCTTCCTTGGTAACGTCTTCCTTGGGAACGTCTTCCTTGGGAACGTCTTCTTTGGGAACGTCTTCCTTGGGAACGTCTTCCTTGGTAACGTCTTCCTTGGTAACGTCTTCCTTGGGAACGTCTTCCTTGGGAACGTCTTCCTTGGGAACGTAGTCCTTGGTAACGTCTTCCTTGGGAACGTCTTCCTTGGGAACGTCTTCCTTGGGAACGTCTTCCTTGGTAACGTCTTCCTTGGTAACGTCTTCCTTGGTAACGTCTTCTTTGGGAACGTCTTCCTTGGGAACGTCTTCCTTGGTAACGTCTTCCTTGGTAACGTCTTCCTTGGGAACGTCTTCCTTGGGAACGTCTTCTTTGGGAACGTCTTCCTTGGGAACGTCTTCTTTGGGAACGTCTTCCTTGGGAACGTCTTCCTTGGTAACGTCTTCCTTGGTAACGTCTTCCTTGGGAACGTCTTCCTTGGGAACGTCTTCCTTGGGAACGTAGTCCTTGGTAACGTCTTCCTTGGGAACGTCTTCCTTGGGAACGTCTTCCTTGGGAACGTCTTCCTTGGTAACGTCTTCCTTGGTAACGTCTTCCTTGGTAACGTCTTCCTTGGGAACGTCTTCCTTGGGAACGTCTTCCTTGGGAACGTCTTCCTTGGGAACGTCTTCCTTGGGAACGTCTTCCTTGGGAACGTCTTTCTTGGGAACGTCTTTCTTGGGAACGTCTTCCTTGGGACTTCGTTGGGAGAATGGAAACCCCAAAACAACATTTTTCATACACATATTTTCTTGCTTTCTTGAGCTTACCTAGCGAGAGGTACTCCCTGGCATGAGGTATTTACCTGCAATGGGAGCACTTACCTGGTGTGAGTTAATTAATCCTTTCTGTAACCTTCGTGAGACGCAAGATTCGCTGCGTGTTGTAGCAAATAACAGTCATTAGCATATTAATTGTTCTGGCTTCCTGCTCCTCATCATGGAGGTGGGTCTCCCCCCACAAATTTTTTTTAGAGATATACGATTATGTAATTATATTTGTGCTGTCTGGCACTGGTGTTATATATATGTTTTAAGCCTCACTACACACATCTTCCTTTGTTTGCTGTGACTAACATATATTAAACACACAAAACACACACACACACACTCACACACACTCACTCACTCACTCACTCACACACTCACACACACACTCACACACTCACTCACTCACTCACTCACTCACTCACTCACTCACTCACTCACTCACTCACACACACACTCACTCACTCACTCACTCACTCACACACTCACACACTCACACACTCACACAAAACACACACACACACACACGCGCGCACACACCTCTTCCCTGTCTCAGGAACCTGTACACCTGTTGATTGACGGTTGAGAGGCGGGACCAAAGAGCCAGAGCTCAACCCCCGCAAGCACAGTTAGGTGAGTACAATTAGGTGAGTACACACACACACACACACACACACACACACACACACACACACACACACACACACACACACACACACACACACACACACACACACACACAGATAATCAGGGAAATGGCTACTGAAGTTCAACACCAGCAAGTGTAAAGTTATGGAAATCCGACTAGGTGACGGAAGACCAAAGGGTCAGTACAAAGGGAAGCGAAACTATTTGTGACGACGCGAGAAAGAGACCTGGGAATGAACGTACATCAAATCTAACTTCTGAGGCACATATAAATCAGATAACGACTCTATGCAGCGCACTCTATGCTAACAAAATTTAGAACGTCATTGAGAAACTTAAATAAGGAGGCATTCGGAACGTTTTACACAACCTACGTGAGACCAGTTTTAGAGTATGCAGCCCCATCATGGAGTCCTACCAAAAGAAACACATTAGGAAACTGGAAAAGGTTCAGAAACTTGCGACGAGAGTTCTATGGGATGGGATATGAAGAGCGCCTGAAGGAACTGAACCTGACGACGTTAGAAAAATGGAGGGATTGGGGAGATATGATAGCAGCATACAAAATACTTTCGGGGATTGACCGAGTGGAAATTACCGAAATGTTTATACGGAATACCGACAAAACAAGGGGACATGGGCGGAAGCTGGAAACACAGTTGAGTCATAGAAATGTTAGAAAGTTTTCTTTTAGCGTGAGAGTAGTGGGGAAATGGAAAGAACTAAAGGAGCACATTGTGGAAGCAAACACAATTCATAACGTTAAAACTATATATGACAAAGAAGAAGAACAGGCGTCAGTGCTTTAAACAACCGGCTGCTAAAAAGGCGAGATCCAAGAACCAACGCTCGACCCTGCAGACACAAATAAGTGAGTACACACACACACACACAACAGCTCACTCCCCTGTACTCCCACACATCACAGCTCACTCCCCTGTACTCCCACACATCACAGCTCACTCCCCTGTACTCCTACACATCACAGCTCACTCCCCTGTACTCCCACACATCACAGCTCACTCCCCTGTACTCCCACACATCACAGCTCACTCCCCTGTACTCCCACACATCACAGCTCACTCCCCTGTACTCCCACACATCACAGCTCACTCCCCTGTACTCCCACACATCACAGCTCACTCCCCTGTACTCTCACACATCACAGTTCACTCCCCTGTACTCCCACACATCACAGTTCACTCCCTTGTACTCTCACACATCACAGCTCACTCCCCTGTACTCCCACACATCACAGTTCACTCCCCTGTACTCCCACACATCACAGTTCACTCCCCTGTACTCCCACACATCACAGTTCACTCCCCTGTACTCCCACACATCACAGTTCACTCCCCTGTACTCCCACACATCACAGTTCACTCCCCTGTACTCCCACACATCACAGTTCACTCCCCTGTACTCCCACACATCACAGTTCACTCCCCTGTACTCCCACACATCACAGTTCACTCCCCTGTACTCCCACACATCACAGTTCACTCCCCTATACTCCCACACATCACAGCTCACAACTACAACTAGTAAACACACACACACACACACACACACACACACTGGTAGGTCTGGTAACTGAGCGAACAGCGCGCAGGACTCGTAATTCTGTGACGCGGGTTCGATTCCCGGACCTGGCAGAAACAAATGGGCAAAGTTTCTTTCACCCTGATGCCCCTGTTTCCTAGCAGTAAAGAGGTACCTGGGAATTCGACAGCCGTTACGAAGCTGCTTCCTGGGTGTGTGTACTCACCTAATTGTGATTGCGGGGGTTGAACTCTGGCTCTTTGGTCCCGCCTCTCAACCGTCAATCAACAGGTGTACAGATTCCTGAGCCTATTGGGCTCTATCATATCTATACTTGAAACTGTGTATGGAGTCAGCCTCCACCACATCACTTCCTAATGCATTCCATTTGTCAACCACTCTGACACTAAAAAAGTTCTTTCTAATATCTCTGTGGCTCATTTGGGCACTCAGTTTCCACCTGTGTCCCCTTGTGCGTGTGCCCCTTGTGTTAAATAGCCTGTCTTTATCTACCCTATCAATTCCCTTGAGAATCTTGAATGTGGTGATCATGTCCCCCTAACTCTTCTGTCTTCCAGCGAAGTGAGGTTTAATTCCCGTAGCCTCTCCTCGTAGCTCATACCTCTCAGCTCGGGTACTAGTCTGGTGGCAAACCTTTGAACCTTTTTTTAGTTTAGTCTTATCCTTGACTAGATACGGACTCCATGCTGGGGCTGCATACTCCAGGATTGGCCTGACATATGTGGTATACAAAGTTCTGAGTGATTCCTTACACAAGTTTCTGAATGCCGTTCTTATGCTGGCCAGACTGGCATATGCCGCTGATGTTATCCTCTTGACATGGGCTGCAAGGGACAGGTCTGGCATGATGTCAACCCCCAAGTCTTTTTCTCTCTCTGTCTCTTGAAGTATTTCATCTCCCAGATGATACCTAGTATCTGGCCTCCTGCTCCCTACACCTATATTCATCACATTACATTTGCTTGCGTTAAACTCTAACAACCATTTGTTCGACCATTCCTTCAGCTTGTCAAGGTCTTCTTGAAGCCTCAAGCAGTCCTCCTCTGACTTAATCCTTCTAATAATTTTGGCTTTGTCAGCAAACACTGAGAGAAATGAATCTATACCCTCCAGGAGATCATTTACATATATCGGAAACAAGATAGGACCGAGTACACAGCCCTGTGGGACTCCACTGGTGACTTCACGCCAGTCGGAGGTCTCACCCCTCACCGTAACTCTCTGCTTCCTATTGCTTAGGTACTCCCTTATCCACTGGAGCACCTTACCAGCTACACCTGCCTGTCTCTTCAGCTTATGTACCAGCCTCTTATGCGGTACTGTGTCAAAGGCTTTCCGACAACCCAAGAAAATGCAGGCCGCCCAGCCTTCTCTTTCTTGCTTAATCTTTGTCACCTAGTCGTAGAATTCTATTAAGCTAGTCAAGCAAGATTTACCCTCCCCGGACCAATGTTGGTGATTTGTCACAAAGTCCCTTCTCTCCAGATGTGTTACCAGGTTTTTTCTCACGATCTTCTCCATCACCTTGCATGGTATACAAGTCAAGGATACTGGCCTGTAGTTCAGTGCCTCTTGCCTGTCGCTCTTTTTATATATTGGGCCACATTCGCCGTCTTCCATATTTCTGGTAGGTCTCCAGTCTCCAGTGACCTACTATACACTATGGAGAGTTGCAAGCAAAGTGCCTTTGCACACTCATTCAGTACCCATGGTGAGATCCCGTCTGGACCAACAGCCTTTCTAATATCCAGATCCAGCAGGTGTCTCTTGACCTCCTCTCTCGTAATTTTGAATCCTTCCAAGGCCGCCTGGTTTACTTCCCTTTCTCCTAGCACAATGACCTCACCTTGTTCTATTGTGAAAATCTCCTGGAACTTCTTGTTGAGTTCTCCACACACCTCTTTGTCATTCTCTGTATACCTGTCCTCGCCTGTTCTAAGTTTCATTACCTGTTCTTCCACTGTTGTTTACCTCCTGATGTGACTATGGAGTAGCTTTGGTTCCGTCTTGGCTTTGTTTGCTATATTATTTTCATAATTGTTCTGTTTCTCTTCTCACCCTGACGTACTCATTCCTGGTTTTCTGCTTTCTGACGTTCTGTTATTCCGGAAGTTCCTCCACGCCTTTTTTTCAGTACCTTTGCTTCCATACATGCCCTCTTATACCATGGATTCTTCTTTTGCTTCTCCGATTTTTCCCTTTGGGCCGGGATAAACCTGTTTACTTCCTCCTGACACTTTTGGGTGACATAGTCCAACATATCTTGTACAGACTTGGCTCTGAGGTCTGTGTCCCAAGGTATTTCACTTAGGAAACTTCTCATCTCCTCATAGTTCCCCTTTTGGTATGCCAGCCTTTTGTTTCCTAGATCTTTTTTGGGGGAGATAATTCCTAGCTTTACCAGGTGCTCAAAGTTCAATACACTGTGATCACTCATTCCCAAGGGTGCTTCCATCTTAACTTCCCTTATATCCCACTCATTTAGGGTAAATATCAGATCGAGCATGGCTGGTTCATCTTCCCCTCTCATTCTTGTTGGTCCCTTGATGTGCTGGCTTAGAAAGTGGCTTGTTGCCACGTCCAGCAGCTTAGCTCTCCATGTTTCTGGTCCTCCATGCGGATCTCTGTTCTCCCAATCTATCTTCCTGTGGTTGAAGTCTTTCATGATTACTAGTCCAGATCCATTCCTGCTAGAAACAGAAGCTGCTCTCTCTATTATGTTAATGGTGGCCATGTTTTTTCTATCATATTCCTGTCTGGGTCTTCTG